AACTTCAATTACAAATATCCAAATTAGCCATAATAGTATACCACCAAACATTATCATCAAAACAGACATGCATAGAGATTTAAGAACTTGTACCCATGTATATCAAAAAATTGATATTATAAGATCAGAGCTAACATATACATATGAAGGACCTTTTAAAGTGTTAAAAAGAAAAGCCAAGACATTTCATCTTCAAATCAACGGTACTAGTAAAACAATATCAATTGATCAACTCAAACCTGCTTTTATAGAGAATAACGCACTTAGAGAAAACACAGACAAAAGTAAGACAGTACATTAAACACAAGCAGCCAACTCGATCACGATTTTTTTTATTACCATTTTTCTAAGATTATTACTTCATAGTAAAAACAAGTATTTACATATAAAAATTATAATTAAAAAAAAAAAAAAAATTGTTATCAAGTTGTTATTGATTTTTGATATGTTAAAAATAATTCGTGCAAAATTTCGATTAATAATGTCATGTTAAACGTTTTTCTTTTTCGATACTTTAAAAATTATTTTTATGAAATTTTTTAATTTAAAAATGTTGAACTTTTAAACTTCTTAGATCAACTCACAAATTTGATATTAATACCATTAAATAAAAAAATGTATGAGAGTTTAAAAAATCGTATATTTTAGATCCATATGTTGTCAGGAACTTATATAATTACTATTAACAGTAAATTTATGAGAAAAGCTTGAAATTTCGTCAAAATCAAAATTTTTTTCTTACTAATTTTGGAAAAAATCGTAGTAATCACATATATGTAACTCTTAGTGTTTAAGTAGATGCTATAGTTGATATATTTAAAACTATATTTAGTATAGTTATACCCAGTAGTATTCTATATTATATTGACATTCAGATATATTTCATGCCTACTTTCACCTATGATTTTGTCTGCTGTGTTGTTAAATTTCATATTAACTTATATATTTTGGTTATTTTTTTTTTATGTTATAATATTAAATTATTGAATATTACTTTTATACTATATTTAATTGCTATAATAGATCTTTATTCATATATTATACTTATAAACCATAGAAATAAAGAAGGAAATAGTAGTTTCCCCTAGAATTGTTCGAATACCCAAAAAAAATTTGTTATTTAGCCTAACAAAAAAATGAAAATGCAAATGTTCTATATTTATCGTTGAAACTATTAACTTGATTTATTTATAAAATGTTCACTGTAGAAAAAAATGTTCGCACAAAAGTTGTTTTAAATTAAATTTTCTATATATTTTTTATCTAACATTTTTTTTATTAATTATTCTATGAAATTATACGGTTTTCTCATTATTTTCATAAATTTAAGAACCACAAAATTCATTATATTTATGTGCTTACGAAAAAGTCATTCACAAAATTAAGTTATTGTTTATTATTTTTAAATGTTTAATTACATGTTTTTATCTGGTATACTCCCATAGAAAGATGGAAAACTTCTTCTTTAATTATAAGGGAAACAACTAGTTGAAAGTTTACCAATAATTATGTAGAACAACTAATTGAAAAATTGAGTTTAACTGAAAAAGAAAAATCATTATGTTGTGATACAATAGTTTCTAATACAGATAGACTTAAAGGTGCCTGCATATTATTGGAGCAAATGTTGAGGCGTAATATTTTGTATTTACTGTGTAGATATCACATTTTTGAAATTGTATTAAAAAAAGATTTTAAAATCATATTTAATTCATCATCTACTCTAGATGTTCCTATATTCAATAAATTTCAAAAGTCTTGGTAAAATTATTTCAGTGGAATGGAATATATTACTGTTTTATGATTTACAATTTATAAAAGTATAATTGAAGATAAAATAATATATGTAGATATTTCTAAAGTAGTTTTAAAAGACCAATCCAGTCACTTATGGTATTTAGTATCCGAAACAGCAGCATTGGCATTTTTTGATGATGATTTGTCTGAAGATACCAAAATTAAAATGGTAAATTCATTTTATAATCTCGAATAAGCTCCATGTATGCACATATCGGTAGTTTTAGGTTTAAATGGAATTTATGATTATAAAAATAAAAATATAAAAGACTTCACTTCAATGGAATCAAAAAAAACTTTTGAAAAATTTAAAATTGAAACTGAATTTTAGATTTAGACCTATGTTATGGACAGACAACAATCAATATAGAAAAGTAAAAGAAATTGTAAATAATTCAAGTCGTAAATGATTTGGCAGAGTTGTAAAACTCATCTAAGAATATGATAGTATTTTAACAAAAGATGAAGCATAAAAACAGTACCTACTATAGATTTTTATATAGGTGTTAATTTCTTAATTATAATAAAAGCATTTTATGTCAAGACTTCTAAAAACAAGCAATTTTTTGATTATCTATTTTTATTTTTTATACGTGTTTTTTTTTTTTGTAAAATAGTTTTTTAGTATTTTATTAATATTTAAGTCTGAATATTTTATTTTAATTAATTGTACAAATGATTTAATGTACTTTGTGATTAGTAAATGATAAAAAAAAAAAGTTAAATAAAAATATATAGAAAATTTAATTTAGAACAATTTTTGTGCGAATATTTTTTTTCTACAGTGAACGGTTCATAAAATAAATCAAGTTAATAGTTTCAACGGTAAATATAGAACATTTGCATTTTCATTTTTTTGTTAGGCTAAAAAACAATTTTTGAAAAATGTTTGTAGATATCTTATTTATAGCAAAACATATTTACAAAAAAGTTTCTATGAACTTTTTCGTAAAAGTTAATGTTTAGGAGATAGAAATAAAAATTAAAAATCTTCCCATAGGTTATCATTATTAACCCTTTTAGGGCATGCCTTATAGTTTGATAATCGTCATCAATTTTTGCACAATTATTTTTTTTGGGGTATTCGAACAATTCTAGGGGCTGGTACTTCTAAATATTATTAAAAAAAACCTACTAATGTAGCTTACAGTCATTCTAATGTTACCCACATATTAGTTAACATTTTTGTGTATTTATTTTTCTAAAAAAAACACTAAATTTATGTAATGTTATTAAATATTTACCGGATATTAAATCTCCTTCACATAAACGACACCTTATCGAATTAGTTAACCATTTATCTAAACATTCCTGATGTAACTGAGTTTTACAACACTCAGCTACAGTTATGTCCATAATTAAATCTTGATTACACCCTTTACATACTAAAAAACAAAAATTAAAAAATTAAAATTGTACAGAAAATGTAAATTTTGGAAAAAATAGATATCAACCTTTCTTAGACTGAGCTATAAAGAGGAATTTTGTTAAGAACTAAAAATTACAAGTGACTCGGGGACTTTTTTTCTTGAATTAATATGTTTAATCGTATAAAAGGATTTTAGAAAAATCAGTGCAAAACGTTAAATTGATGGCCATTCTCCAATTAGTCATTTATGTATTGTGTAAAATTAATAATTTTTTTTTATTTTAAATACAACATCGTTTCTGATGAATACCAAAGAGGAAAATATGATTTTTGTAAAACAATACTAAGTTAAAAATTATAAAATGTTTCATAGAGTATATCATAAAAGTAATCAATAGCTTCATTAATATTTATTTTTTACAATATACAGAACGTTCAGTAATTATGATAACCCGTTTCCTTACTTACTGAACACTTTTTATATGCCCAGTAGGCATGAAGTATAAATAATAAAACAGAAATACAATAATAATTTTTAATATCAATTAGCCTAAAATAGACCTCTTTTGAACACGCGTATTATAAAAAAAACTCAAAATTTTAATCATTTAATTAATTTCTCACAGATATTAAACGATTCAATTGACCATTCATATTATAGTTGTAGCGAAATGATGAAACATAAAATTACTTTAAGCCTCATAAATTTTGTCTCAGAATAAGAAACAGTATAAAATTTAATATTTCTGAATAATCTATCTTATTATCCAACAAATTAATAAGTCACATAACATCTAGATATTTCCTAATAGTCTCAAGTAATTCTATATAATAATATTTAATTATCTCTATATTTGTTAAATTTTCATCTCTTATTTTAAAAGCAAACATTTTAATTAATTCTGTTTGTAAATTTCTTGAGCTTTCGAATAAATCACTCTGACTTGAATTCCAAATTATTGTACCAAATTAACGTACTGATTGCACTATAGAAAAACATTTTTAAACATTATGGATCCGAAAGCTCCTTTATTTTGAATAACTTCAAAATGATAATTAAATGACAAATTACATGATTGCCAAACACTCAAATCTTTTACATGTGAAACACAATCAATTTTCATGTTTGTGAACATATAATTTAAAACATTTATTAACCGAGAGCGAATAAAAATACTCTGTACATATTTAACAATATTGGGTTCAAGTAGGTTTTACAAACACCAATTACAGATTGAATCATTACAAGGTCAACGTCACTTTTAATTTCGGATAATAATTTCACATCATCAGCAAATAATAAGGATTTGAGTAACTTATAAACTGACATCATTAATAAATAAAATAAACAAAATTTCCAACGCCCCAAAAATATACTAGTTGTCCAAAGTAAATTAAGTAAACCGCCAGCAGTAGATCGCCATTTCAATTTAGATAAATTAAAATCTTCTTGAAGGAGCAATTTAGTTTTATTATACGTGAAAATTATGTTTTCAATAGTTTTCAAAGTAGCATTTAAACAGTCGATGTTCAGTCAAAATAGAATGTATATGTTACGGGTAAAGTACAAAATATGGTTAGTGTTCACATTATCCGGGTAATGTGTACACTACCTGTACCTATTGGATAAAGTAAAAATACTATTTATAAAACGTTTATTTCGTACTTTACTCGGGTATTTTACACATTATCTACGACTGAGTGGGTAAAGTACTTTGATAAAATGTATATGATAAAATAACGATTGTAGATAAATGTTTATGAAGAAACACACGCAATAATATTTAGTACAGTGCTAGTTCGTCTTAATACACGCGTCGTACATATAATAGGTTTTTAAAATGACTTCACGTGAAAAATTTTATGAATGTTTTTATAAAATAGTTAATGAAAAAAATAATAATTCAGTTTATTTATCGGCAGTTAAGTATAATGAAATAGTTTCGGAAATTAAAAATGTGAGATCAAGTGGAATAAAAAGTAACAAGGCATATCGAATTTTGAAAAAATACGACCTCATTACTATTGGAGAAGAAGATAAATTAATATTGCCGTTGTTGGAAGGTAATACAAACATTTTGTACTATATTACTAATGAAAATATCTATGATGTGCTACACGATGTACATTTGAGTATTGGGCATGGTGGAAAACACCGCATGAATGCTGAAGTTAAAAAAAAGTATAAAAATATAACACAAGAAGCAGTGTCTATTTACTTAAAGTTTTGTGAATCGTGTCAATCTAAACAAAAATCTAAAAACAAGGGTCTAGTGATTAAACCAATGGTGTTTTCGGAAATGAATAGTAGGTGCCAAGTGGACCTGATTGATATGCAGTCGCAGGGGGATGGAGAGTTCCGGTTTATTATGGTATATCAGGATCACCTTACTAAATTCGTTCAACTAAGACCCTTAAAAACAAAGAGAGCAGAAGAAGTTGCAAAACACCTTATCGACATATTTTGTATTTTTGGAGCTCCGATGATATTACAATCTGACAACGGCCGCGAGTTTGCAAATAAAATAATAGAAGACTTAAAAGAAATGTGGGACACACTGAAAATTGTTCACGGAAAGCCACGCCACAGTCAGTCACAAGGAAGTGTCGAGAGAGCAAATCAAGACATACAAAACATGTTGATAACATGGATGAAAACAAATAACTGTAAATCATGGTCAGAGGGACTTCGATTTGTACAGCTAATGAAAAATAGGGCCTACCACGATGGCATTAAAAGATCTCCATACATGGCCATGTTTGGTACTGATGTGAAAATTGGTTTGTCATCATTTTTACTACCAGCTGAAACAGTGGAAAAATTAACCACTGAACAAGAATTGGAAGAAATATTGCAAAGTGTCGTGTCAAACTATGAACAAAGAGAAAATCATAGTGTTTCCGATAATTACTGTGAATCGTGTGGCTGTACTCTTGGTAATGAACAAACATCTATTTGTGGTTTGTGTGATAAAAAAGTAATTATATTACAAAACAAGTTTTATTTAGGAAAAAATGTTATTTATTTTTATTAAAAATGTTTCAGAACACCATAGAAAATGAGAGAAGCAATTCAAAATTATCGCTTGAGCAACAAGCAAAAAAAATGAAGTTCAGATCCATCAACAAATTCCCACCATGCAATGTTGGCGACACAGTTAGAGTCAAACTACCAGAAGTAGACAGAAGTAAGGGTGATCCACAGAATGTACTCTTTGCGATTGTGTCTATAAGTGATAATCAATATTACGAACTCGGTAATAAAAATGGCACTCTTCATCAACTTTATTCCAGAAATCAATTCACTGTATGCTCTGAACCATTAATAGATATTTTAGAAGTTTTAGCCACAAAAAAATCTTTGCGTGAAATAGCTAATGAACAATCTTTTTCCGGTGGTCAAGGTTTTAAGAAGTGTTTATGTAAAACTACATGCTTAACAAATAAATGTAAATGCAAATCCGGGGGAATACTTTGTAATTCTAAATGTCATCCAAACTCAAATTGTTCTAATAAATAATTGTATTTCGCTTAAAATAAATAGTAAATAGTAAATAGTAAAATTGTTCAAATATATAATTTATAGTTTAATCGTAATAATAATAAATAATTTTTTTTTGAATTAGTATAATTTGGTTTTTGCTACTAGAAAGACTTTGTATAATCTGTACCATTTACCGAAGTTATAAGTTTACGATTATAGTTATACGAATACATTATCCACAGCACACCGGATAATGTATAAATTGATTGGATACTACATATTTAAGGTGGATAATGTATACATTACACTGTTCGTATGGATGAGGTTCACATTACCCGGGTAATATGTACACTAACCATTTTTATACTTTACCCGTAACATATACACTGTCAATAATAATAGATTTATTACGGAATTAAATAAATATATATATACCTGTTCGTTGTTGAATCATTAATAGATAAATGGTAAGATATAAAATTATTTCTAATAACAATCAACACACCACGTCAACGAGAAAACGAAATAACAAGAGGTAATCTTTCTCAGCGATAAATAGTACACTAATTTTATCCTAATTGATATGTTTGTGGATATCACCAAGAGTGAATGTGAATAACAATATCATGAATACTACATTACAAATTAACAAGTCTATTTTAGAGTTTATGCTTCGCACGTTTAGGCAATCAATGTTTAATCTTACTTAGAGTTAGGCCGTTTTTTGATATGGTAGGTATTTTAAAATTAGATCATACTCACTTTGTTTCTTTAATTACTTTAATATATTTTTGAAAAAATTGCGTGATTAGTTTTACGACCAGTTGGAGGAATACATACCAAAACGATGCAGTTACAGTATAGAGTGACTATTCTCTGTATTATTAATAAGGAATAATAGAACGGTAACAAATAAAAATTAATAACGATAATGAGAGTTATAAACAACCTTTCTTATTCAGTTAAAATGTAAAAAATATATCATTATTCTGGAAAGACTTGTAATTACAGGTTACTAATAAAACTTAAATTACATCTACCACAAAACATAGAAGTAAATAAAAAATTAAAAACTTACTGCCAAAACCTGAAAAAATTACCATAAATTATTTAATTGAAATATTATATATTAAAAAGGGAATCTTTTTTTATTAGTTACACATTAATAATAAAAAAATATAAAATTAATTTTTAATTTTTAACCAAATGATTAATAAAATTATTCAAATACTTTTATTTAAATATATTTATAACACTTTAATGCATTTTAAATATTTATTTTTCTTTATAGCTATAAACATGATGCGTAGAAACTTGCATTGAAATAAGCTCATTAAAAATTTTTAAACATTTTAAACCAGTGACATTATACAAAAAAAAATTGTCTAATAACAATAGCCCATGTAAAAATGTAGATTATCCTCTCATAATCAATTTGAGACATTCTAATGAATGTATCTAGCTACAACCAACCTTTTCTCTGAATTCTTTAATCTAACAAGTTACTTTTGATAAAAATTTTTATAATTATTATTATTTAGGTGTAATTGTGATGTAACCTATCAGAGTCTATTGAAATTTATCTGCTATAATATTACTGTGTTATATAAAAGTTTCTTTTTCTTCTTTTAGTAATGGTATTTTTCAAAAAGTAATTTTTACTTGCAATAAACTAAGATATATAGTGTAATTATTTCAAAATTTTTAACCGATGCATTTATTTCTATATTTAATATTATGTGACAATACTTTGAAGAAAATATTTAAAAATTATATTAAAAGGCCAAGTTTAGTGAAAAATAATTTTAATAACGCTTCTTAAAAATGAAGTTAAAAAATTCATTTAATAAATCCCATAAAATATATTTGTTATATAAAAAAATAAGTTTGTACAAAATTTGGGTGAAATTGATTGATATTAACGCATATCACAAAAGGGTTGAAAATTCCATTGTAAGGGTAGTTTTTTTTATCAAACTCACGTTTTAGTATAGGATGATGAAAACTTATAAATAATTGGAAAACATTATGTGTATTTCATTTAATTGAAAAAATTAATCTAAATCACGAATGTGTAAATACATTAATTTCTTAACAAACACTATACTATACAATTTACTTTGCCTATGACAATACTAAGGCCACAGTCCTGGCAAGCTAATATATAAACTAGTGTATCATACTGTAAATTCTAGGAATTTTTAAGAGCTTGTGGGAAATTGTAAGATAAGCTAGCCATTAGCTGAATAATATCTCACAGAGTTGACACAATTTCTTGACTAAAAAACTAAAACAACTAAAAAATAATTTTCATAACATATATATTATTTTAAGAGAAATCAAACCATTAAAAGAACCGCGCTGTATATAACTGATATAGTAAAAACGATTGCTAGGAAATTAATCTATGCTAACAATATAGCGTCAATAACACAAGATTAAAGTTTACCAATTGAATATACTGTTTACTTAACTTAATCAAAAATTCAAACTTATTTTAATTAATGGTACCTTACTCATATTCCAATAAAACTGTATGTATAGCTTTGCAACTCAATAATTAGGGTGCAAATAGGAAACTTCATCATGGATTGATAACCACAGTATTTCTAATACTTACTCAAACAACTTGGTGTAAAAAAGGTTAGATTTATAACATTAAAAAATAACTCGAAAATTATAAAACAAAGCCAAAACTAAAAATAACATAATCGAAATATTTGCCGAAACTGGTGGAGATTTTAGTACAGATATTTTCAGAAACTTTGTAATTGCGCACTCGTCTGGCTGAGTAGTTCAAAATGCAAAAAAATAGAAACTCAATTTCATCAAATTATGCAGATTATTACAGGTACAATTTCTTCTACACATACTCAATAGCTCTCACTTCTCCTTAATATAGCTCCTCCAGATTTGCAAAGGTAGGAATGTACCTTAACTAAACGCTATTAAAATTAACCGTGACCATACTTTATTCAAAGATATTACTCAGTATCAACAGAAAAGTTAAAATCCAAACACTTCATACAATTTACATAAAAATTTGTAGTTTGTTTATTTTTAGATCTAAAAGGCACATTTTGTAATACATTTTGTAATAACATTTCATGTAGTATACAATGTAGTTCTACAAATTAAGTTATACATTTTTTTTTTGATTATAGCGTAGTTAAAAATAACTGATGAAAACAAAAAAACTACACAATCGAATTTTTAACTCCCTTAGGGCACGTGTTAAAATTTCATAATTTCACTTAAATATTCTACTTCTTCTTCTTCTTCCTCGCCTTAATCTCAACTACTTGGGGTTGACCACCCTTATCCTAAACTTCCACTTGACACGATCTCCCACATCATCACCTCTCACATCAGCTGTCCTCAAATCGCATTCAATAGCATCCCTTCATCTCTTTTTTGGTCTTCCTTCAACATTCATTTCTATAACTGTTCTTACAGCTTCCGATTGTTCTCTCCTAATAACATGACCAAACCATCTAAGTCTACTTTCACTCATCTTATCCACAATTGACGCTACACCTATACTCCCTCTTATATGCTCGTTCCTTATTCTATCTTTTCTAGTCACTCCACTACTCCATCTAAGCTTACTCATTTCTGCTACACTCATTCTCTGTTCTACTTTCATATCAACCACTCAACACTCTGAACCATAGCTGGCCTTATTACAGTCTTGTAGAATTTACCTTTCAGCCTTATTGGAATTTTTTTATCGTATAAGACGCCAGACGCTTCTCTCCACTTCAACCACCCGCACTTAATAATGTGTCTTACATCCTCGTCAATACCACAACTCTTTTACACAACTGATCCTAAATACTTAAAACTTTCCACCTGTCCTATCATGTTGTCGTCTATTGTCTCTGGTCTCCTTATTTCACCTACCTCGTGTTCTCCTTTGTCAAACTCGTACTCTATATACTCTGTTTTACTTCTACTTATTCTTAAACCCTTTTCTTCAAGAGCTGATCTCCACACCTCTAGCCTTTGATTAATTTCTTCCCTATTTTCTTCTATTAACACTATATCGCCAGCAAACAACCTTCACCACGGCACCTCTCCTTGTATTTCTCTAGTAATTTCATCCATCACTATAGAGAATAAGTAAGGGCTTAAAGCAGAACCTTGGTTCACTCCTACTCATACCCAAAAACCTTCTGATACTCCTCCTACGCTTTTTACCCTGGTACAAGAGCCATCATACATTCTATTATATCATATCTTCTATTATATTATTGTACCTTTTCGGGACTTCTTTTCTCATTAATGCTCACTTTAAAACCTCTCTCGGTACTCTGTCATACGCTTTCTCCAAATCTATAAATACCATACACAACTTTTTCTTCTTTTCCCTAAACTTTTCTATTATTGCCTCACACAAAATACTGGCTCCATTGTTGACTTAAATTTCACTTAAATATTATAAAACTTATTTTTATATATAACAGAACAATTGTATAAATTGCTTAATAAGTTCAATTATGTATTAGGACTTCGGTACGATCATGAATAATAATAATTCTAGGAGGCGTATTAAATGAATTTTCAAAAGAATCATATATATATATATATATGTATACAGCATGATTCTTTTTACATTAGGCATTCAATTTCTCTTAATATAATGGCTTTTGTTGATTACAAATGTATCTGCATTTACATTCTATAAAATATTTATTATGTATTATCCCTTATATCCAATAGAGATGTCAACTTAATTTTTTTAAATGGAAACATACANATTATGCCTTATATCCAATAGAGATGTCAACTTAATTTTTTTTAATGGAAACATACACATTTAACTAGCTTATAAAATAAAAAAGATCTAATTAAAAAAATAATTAGTCGATAACAATTTTTGAAATAGTACTAATAAAAAGTTATTAACATTATAAAATACAGAATGAGGTAAGAGCACGGCAAAATAATACATAATGATAAAAATAAAAATCTATACCTTATCTACACTCCATATTATAAAATAATCATAACATCCGAAATAATGGGTCAAAAGGTGTCTTCGATCAGTCATTATATTAATTACACAACACTCTATTTTATAAGCTACTTAAATATACACGTTGCCTTTAAAAAAATAAAGTTGACACCCCTATAAAACATAAGAGATAATAAATATTTAATTAATAAAAACTAATAAAATGTATTATATTAAGAGAAATTGAATGGTTAAAATAATCACCTTTTATATCTTAAAATCGCTCTAATATGAAGTTTTCACCTGTTATTAAATTTTTATCACAATTAGGACAAGCAACATTTTTTGATGTTAACCATTCATCTAAACATTTCTTATGGAATTGATTTTCACAACAACTTACATTAGTTACATCTACATTTAAAAATTGATCACATATTTTACATCCTAAAAAAAGGTTTAAAAAAGTTATATATACCTAAGTATAACAGTAGAAATACGTATTTTTATTCCAAAACAACTTAAAGTTTTCCAAACAAACTTATTTATATTTTTTTATATTATTTATGTTTTTTTTAATTTTGTCATTTATATTTTCACAATCAGTTTTTATAATAAATATTGGTTTCAAGCTTTTTTAGCGATTTTTTCACCTAAAATTAATCTAAAATTTATAAAAGTTTTTAAAAGAATATGAAGAGATAAATGATGCAAGACATAAAACGAAATATGCATAAATTCCTTTGATATCTTTGGTACCTGACAGAAAAACTAGTAGCCTTTGCTTTTTTTGACGAAAAAGTGTTTTTTGAAACTAATTGTAAAATGTTGAATGCCTTTCAACATAAAAAATCGGAGTATCTTTTGAAACGCATAAATATAGATACCAATTTAGTCACTGTGATAAACCTGGAAGACTTTTATCTAACAACACTCTTGAATTTTTACTATCTTGGGTATTTCATCTAAGTTTATAAGTAAGATGTTGGAAATTGAGTGGAAGACAAAGATTATAAAACAAATTTGGAAATTATTAGATCTAAGAGGATTGTTAATGATGAAACAGAACGAGGCGTGACTTTAAATGGAGGAATACAATTAATTACAAGCTAAGAATTACGAACAAAAACAATTCTTGTTATTAATTGTCAAAGTTTAGACAATAATATCCTGACACAAAACAAACTATCTTGTTATCATAATATTTTATCATTTTCCAAAGTAAACAATCATTAAAGACATTCATTAATTTTGTTATATATAAATAACAAAAGTTATATTATAATTAAAAAATAACATTTTTTTTAATTAAAATTTTTTTTTTTCAAATTTACTCTTGGTAGCATCATTTTAAAATGGTCTTATAATTTAAAAAAAAGTATTTCATTATTTTTTAAGTAGAATAAACATTATGACGAGGTTCCTCCCCTAGATTTGGTATCAAATTGTTTTTTTTCATTTTAAGCAACATCCTAATATATATGGTATAATGTATACAAAGTTATTTTAATAACGGATTTGTTATTGTTTTTTTAAATATGGTTTATATAAATTTCGTTATATTTGTAAAATTATATTAGTTAATCCTTTAAAATTTGTTAGTGTATATTTTTATTAGCTTAATAGTAATGGCGTAAGTTTAAAAATTTGGCTCTTCAAATCAGGCTTTAATATCAGTAAACTTTATCTTCTACCGCACCTATATTTTAGTCTTTTTTGCGATCGATAATGCTTAAAAAATTTCATTTTTATTAATAAACACTTTATTAAGATTAAATTGTTTTAAATTAACTTAGATTATTATGAGAAGCTTCTTAATGGAGGTTTAGATTTTTTATTATACAGGGTGATTTTTTTATCATAACCCACTCAATTACTTGCAGAATAATAATAATTTAAACATTTTCTTTTTTCATTATCTTTAGTTACACATTATTCTTGAATTTTTAACTATGTAATACTTTTTAAGTTCATCCCTTATGCCTTGGAAGGGGGTCAACTTTGTTTTTTTAAATGGTAACACATATTTTTAATTTAATAAAATGTTTGAGTTTTTAATTTAATAGTAAATGGCATTTGAATTTTTAATATAACTTAATTCGTTTATTAGATATAATCATTTAAAGTTTCAAATTTTTGAATTAATATACAGGTATAATACACAAGGGATTACAAATATAGGTAGCTAATTGGTTTTTTATAACATCGATATTAGCAGGTACACAGCATTGTTATTATCAATTGTAGTAAGGCACATTGTTATGAGTTTATAAATACACTAACTGACAATACAGAAAGTATATCTATTGATAATCATAATTGATAATAAACAATCCGTGACTGAGACAGCAATGTCATAAAAATCCAATTAGCTACCTGTATTTACAATCCCATGTGTATTATACATGTATATTAACTCAAAATTTTGAAACTTTAAATGTTTATATCTAATAAGCGAATTAAGTTATATTAAAAATTCAAATGCCATTTACTATTAAATTAAAAACTCAAACATTTTATTAAATTAAAAATATGTGTTACCATTTAAAAAAACAAAGTTGACCCCCTTCCAAGGCATAAGGGATGAACTTAAAAAGTATTACATAGTTAAAAATTCAAGAATAATGTGTAACTAAAGATAATGAAAAAAGAAAATGTTTAAATTATTATTATTCTGCAAGTAATTGAGTGGGTTATGATAAAAAAATCACTCTGTATAATAAAAAATCTAAACCTCCATTAAGAAGCTTCTCATAATAATCTAAGTTAATTTAAAACAATTTAATCTTAATAAAGTGTTTATTAATAAAAATGAAATTTTTTAAGCATTATCGATCGCAAAAAAGACTAAAATATAGGTGCGGTAGAAGATAAAGTTTACTGATATTAAATAGCATCTTTGACTTTAAATTACAGGTTACTAGCAGAATTTCAGTAATACTTACCTCAAATACTTAAATAAACTAAATAAAAAATTAGAAACTTACTGTCCACACCTGAAAAAAATAACATAAAATATTTAATTTAAATACTATATACTAAAAAAAATATTATTTTATTAGTTGCATATTTCCCTTCAGGGGGTACTAAGCAATTAGTAATACGGGCGTAGTGAACCCGGGGTCCAGAGCTCCTACTGGTGTAAAGCCCCAGGTGGACGATTCCAGTAGGTAATAATGTAGGGAAATGGCGATCCCATAGCCCGGTATGGAAAACACTGCAATATCCCCTGGCTGATTCCAGTAATGTATCCAATAAGAACAGAGGAGAAATTCTTCAAAACTTGGGTCCACCATTAACGGGGGTGGACGTAGGGCTAACCATCCAATTCATAAAAACAACTTTGTTTCGGAACAAAACACAGCAAAGCCTCGGATGAAAAATAAATTGCAAAAGTTTATTTTAGGGACATGGAATACACGTACGATGTGCGCAGCAGAAGCAAGGACAACAGTACTATCTGCTTTCCTAAGAAGCAAAAAACATGAAAATACATGAACCTAGGAGCCCTGGTAATCTTTAAAACATGATTTAAATTATTTTTAATAAATATTATTTACGTGTTATTGCTATGTGAT